GGGGGTTATGCACAAATATACGAAAGACTCAAAATTTCTTTAGCCTTCTTTCAACGCAACTGAAGAAATTCACAGCCTTGTGCTAATCACATTTTATAAGCAGCGGTGGCAAATTGCTGCAAATCAAACATATTTGAGCCAGAAGAAGAACAGATTCCGCTCCATTCACTCCAATAGCGAGGACAAGAAACGCGATTTCGAAGTTTCAAGAGAAAAAAGTACAAATCACCTGAAGAAGACAACTTTTTCAAACAAATCGCACATTACCGCTGACAGAAAAGTGGAATATCCGCTTTGCGGAATACACTTCCCCGTGCCTCCGCATTTCAAAAAGTCACGGATTTCACAGAGGACTTTGTACAAATAAAAAACAAGCAGCGACAGTAGTGGCGACGACGACGGTGGCGGCGGCCGCGGTTTCCAACGAGCCAGGCAGGGTGAACGTGTGCAAAAACATTTATGAAGAAGTGGAAAAGTGCCAATTTCGCTGTATTGCAGTATTTAAAACAGACTGGAGAATAAATGCAAATAATGGCCCAAAGAACGAGGAAGCATGTGCAGTGACGCCGGGCGGCACTGCTAGTGGTGTTCCAGGATCAATAAGAAATTGCATTTGACCAGACTGAAGTGAAGTTTATCATCCAGAGATTGTAAACAGCATGCCGATGCCAGTGAGCAAGAAAATTTTATTATAACACAACCGAGCAATAACAAATGCAGGAACACAATGGCCTAATCCGGCGTCGACATGGACCTGATGCCAGGACGTCAGTAACCCCAGCACTTAGACTACGGATTGCAAAAAAACTTAAAGGCATGATATTGTTGTTGGTTGATCATGATAAATCAAAAAACAATGCTCCAAAACTGCAATGATATTCCAAAAGCACCAGGAGTAAGAGCATGTAAAAGACAACAGGAACAGAAAATTTTAAGAACACTCTGCGCAGGTGTACCGGATTTTCAACCGTTCCTTCCCGCTAGCAAAGTGAGCTGGAATCGCAATAAACTACACCATTCACAGAATTAGTTAACTTCCTAAGTAAAACTCCTATACGCAGCAAAATTCCGTCCGTGTCACCAACATTTCGAGAGCACTGTTTGACTTCACTAATGCTGCTGCCCACTGCATTGGCAAAATTTAAGTTGTGCTTGGGATGCTAAAGGTTGGTAGCAAAAATAGCTAGGCACTTGGAATTAACCATGGATCATATTATTGTCGGATAAATGGATATTTGAGTGGATATATTTCTGGTGGTCAACACAAATAAAAATAAATTTACTGA